ACCCCTTGCTCTGGTGGTGTAGTATGTAAGGCATTTGACTGCTAACCAGAAGGTTGGCGGTTCAAACCCACCAGCCACTCCTCAGAAGGAAGACTGCACAATCTACTTCCATAGAGATACCACCTTGAAAACCCAAGGAGGGGTTGCTGTGAGTTGGATTTGACTCAACAGCAATGAGTTTGGTTTGGTTTTTTTTTTTTGCATTTTAACAAGCAAGAACCACTTTGGATAGACTGCCTTATAAACTAATACGTCTTTTATTTGGAGGGGTGGGTAAGGAGTTGATTTTAAAAAATGCTTTAAAAAACATTCTATGTTCAATCAGACTTGATGATATGTGTAAAATCATCAATGATAACCAAGTTGGTAAAAAGTAGAGTTCAGTCTAGAGAAGCTCTAAATAGCTCTGGGAACAGGAATTCTGATCTTTTCAGGTAGAGATTTTCAATTAGAAATGTGAAGGACTGTTACCAGGATTCAGTAAGAGTAGAGCAGGAAAACAAGCCTTCCAGGAGTGAATATATTCCATCTAATTACCCAATGTTTTCCCACGGCTATTTCACAGCCTTTGTCAAACCAGTTATTAGGTGGCAGGGACCCATATTTGCTGCAATCATTGCAGTAAATCAGACTAAACTAAACACACGGTAGATTTTTTTTTTTAGCTATGAGACTAGATAATTTTTCCACTAAAGGAAGTAACACAGGTTTCTTTAAGAGGTGAGTTACATATTACCCTTACTCACCTGCTATTCAACACTCCTAAGATTTCAAAGATGATGAGCTCAAACATGGTGCAAGAAAATGCAAAAGTCACAGAGAAGATCACTTGTACAACATACTGACGTACCTATTAAAAGCCAAATAGCGATTACAAAACATTTCCTTATTTTCAACATTAAACTGATAATCTCCTTTTGGTTATAGTCAGAAAACTTATTCTGAAGAAATTCTCAAGTCATTGGAAATGAGATTGTGGCCACAACTTGCCTAGAGCTAAAGAAATATATATAAATATATCCTGTAAATACTACATCACTACATAATTCACATTGCATAAGTAAACCAGGGGTCATTATTACCTACATCCTCTTGTGAATAAAAAATACAAAGCACAAGAAGTTGAAGCATATGTAGCATGTAGAATTTATGATACACACAATAAAAAGTGGCAAATGTACAGTATACATAATTGATAATGTGAAAAAGGATTCCTCAATACTCTGCAGACTTGGGATCAGTTCTGGAACCTCTCCCGGGAGGCCTAGAAGTATTGGGTAGAACAGAATTTCCAGAATCCCAGGCTTTTTTAGATTATAATCCAAACTCCCTGCTGAGGTCTAATGGTGAATATCCTGGAAATGATCCAAAGAGAGACCATAACCACTGTAATTATTACTAAAAGAAAAGGATTAATTAGGAAATGTCTAGTCTAGGATGTTTTTCTGAGTCCAAGGCTTAAGATAAGAACCAGACCAGTCTTATCTTGGTATTGACTTACAGTGTAAGATTGGTAATTAACATTCAAGGCCAAGTAGACAAATGAAGGGGAACATTCATGAGACATAATATAAGTTAAATTCTTTCCCAAAGAATAACTTTCTGGGACTATACTTTGGTGTCTATACTGGTATGGCCAGGCTATTCCTTGCTCCTGGGTTTTGGCACTCGTGCATTGGATTTCATGACTTGCCTTTTTTAAAAACCAACTAAGTCTAAATGTATTCTCCAATTTAAGAGTTATATAGTACTCATTTGGTAAAAACTCCATATCTTTAGTGGATATGACCTTTCTTTAGTGGAGGCATTCCTCCCCACCCATTTTTAAACAATCTAAATTCATAAAGTTTTAGCAGAACCAAAACAATCTATTCTCACCTCATAGTCCTTAAACAATTGGCGCATGAAGAAAAGCCACCCAAATCCAAAGAAAAGTATCTGGAGGAGAAAGAAGATAGAATGTCAATATAGATATTCTTGTGAGAAATGCCTTAGAGAGGCCTATTTTATGCTAAAAGGTCTGCTAACTTAGAGACAGTTAACTTATTTTAGAAACTTAAGATGAAATTCACTCATACAAGGCCCACTTAGAAAAGTCCATGACACCATGAAAGATTTTGAATGGTCTTAGATTTTGAAATTATCCATGCTATAGATGTGTTTTGGGAGCTCTGGCAGCATAGTGCCTAAGGCACTTGACTGCTAACCAGAAGGCTGGTGGTTCAAATCCACCAGCCACTCCTTGGAAGGAAGATGGGGCAATCTACTTCCGTAGTGATACTGCCTTGGAAACCCAAGGAGGGGTCACTATGAGTTGGGTCCAACTCGACAGCACATAACAACAACAACAACAACATAGATGTGTTTTAATTTAGACAAAAATGGAATTATATATTTTACTGTAATCTTGTAATTGTTTTATAACCCAAAGTTAAAAAAAAAAAAATTCACTGCCATCAAGTTGATTCTGACTCACACCAACTGCCCGATAAGGTTTCAAAGGCTTTATGGAAGTAGACTGCCACATTTTTCTCCCGCAGAATGGCTGGTGGGTTGAAACTGACCTTTTGGTTAGCAGCCAAGCACTGAACCACGGTGCCACCAGGGCTCCTGTCCAAAGAAGTTAGCAAACAGAAAAAAGAACTAGTGAAATCTGCTTCTTATAGATGATCTCTATTTCCAAGTATTTTAAAAAAGAAAAATCTGTGGAAAAGGGGTTGAGACAAAAAAAAAAAAAAAATAGGGAAGTAGTAGGACTAATACTTTTTATGTTTTCTTTCAGGAAGCTTTTTTTAAACCTTCTCCACCATCCCGCCTTCCATCTAAAGCAGTTTCCATCTCAGTATAAAGCCAAGAGATCGTAGGATTAACTTTTGTCAATTTTGGCTCAAGAGTCATCACGTGACAGCTCTGGTCTAAAGCTGGTTTGTTATTCAGAAATAAATGAAACATTCTGCATATAAACAAATTACACATACATTCTGACACAATTTCTCTTTTCCTTTAAATAGGAATCTCACCTAAGAATGGAGTACCTGGGTGGTGCAAACACTTAAAGCACTTGGCTGCTAATTTAAAGGTTAGAGCCACCCAGAAGTGCATCAAAGGCCAGTAATCTACTTCTGAAAAATCAGTCATTGAAAATTTTACAGAGCACAGTTCTATTCTAACACACAGGGAGTCACCACAAATCAGAGCTGACTTGATGGCAACTCATTTTTTTTTACCTAAGAATAAAATTATTTTATGCCTTCCCACTGACTTTAGGAGCAAGTGTAAACTCTGTCTCTGTCTCTGTCTTTTTCTTTTTAACTTTTTATTGTCATTTGGGTGAAATTTTACAAAGCACATTTGTTTTACATTCAACAGTTCATATACATATTTTTGTTTTGTGATTCTGGTTACATTCCCTGCAGTATAATATCTCACCTTCCACTTCCTCCCAGTGGTTACCCTTTCCCTGTGTCCTTCTTTCCTATGAGTTCCTGTCTCCCTACCTTTCTCCTTGTGCGAATGCTGCCCTTCTGATCTCCCATGGCTGATTATTCTAAGGAGTGCATCTCCCTGGTGTAGGTGTTCAGCTCGTCTTGAGCATAATTTAGCACAGACTATTTCATTCTCTCGTGCTCCTTCTTTGCAACCAAACCCGTATTTTCAGTCACAAGAAGCTTCCTTTTGGTTTCTTTTAATTTATTGCCCCCAAACATCTATATAATAAAAAAATTGGCCATTCTTAGCCATTTGTAAGTATACAGTTCAGCGATATTAATAACATTCACATGCTATACAACCATCACCACTATTCCCAAAAGTTTTTCATCAGCCCAAACTGAAACTCAGTACCCCTTAAGCAATAACTCCCCATTTGCTGCTCCCCCCAGTTCCTGGTAACCACTATGCACTTGCCTATTCTAGATATGTCATGTAAGAGGGGGTCATACAGTACTTAGCCTTCTATGTCTGGCTTGTTTCACTTAGCACGTTTTCGAGGTTCATCTATATTGTAGCACATACCAGTACTTCAATTCTCTTTATGGCTTAACAATATGCCATTGTATTGATATACCATATTTTGTTTATCCATTCATGTGCTGACGGACATTTGGGTTTTTTTCTGCTTTTTGGCTATTGTGAATAATGCTGCAATGAACACTGGTATACAATTCTCTGCTTTCAATTCTTCTGGGTAGGAGTGGAATTCCTAGGAGTGGAATTGCTGGATCACAAGGTAATTCTGTTTAACTTTTTGAGGAACCACCAAGCTGTTTTCCACAGAGGCTATGTCATTTAACATTTCTCTCAGCAAAGGAAGAGGGTTCTCATTTCTCCATATCCTCACTAACACGTGTTATTTTCCATTTTTCTGATGATAGTCAGCTAGAAGGAACCCTGTTGGTGCAGTGGTTAAGCACTAGGCTAGATTTGAACTGAAAGGTCAACAGTTCGAGTCTACTAGCTGCTCTGTGCGAGAGAGATGTGGAAGTCTGGTCCTATAACCATTTATAGTCTTGGAAACCCTATGGGGCAGCTCTATTCTGTTCTCTAGGGTCACTAAGAGTTGAAATTGACTCAATGGCAACACGTTTTAATGACTACTGACACTGAACATCTTTTCATGTGCTCATTAACCACTTAAGGAGCACCGGTGGCACATTGGTTAAGTGCTCGGCTGCTAACTGAAAGGTCAGTGGTTTGAATCTACCAGCTGCTCTGTAGGAAAAAGATGTGACAATCTGCTTTCTTAAAGATTTACAGCCTTAAAACAATTAGATATGTCTATGAAATGGGGAATGTATCCAAGAACATATATAGGTTGGCAGACAATGGTCCAATAAGTTTATGTGAATGATCAGAATTCCCAGGTGTACAGTAGAGCTGACAAGGGGCAAGGTTGTAGTCACGGCTTGGTCACAGCCAGCTACCCAGATGGACCGAGTAGTTGAACCTACGGGCTTGGGACCATAGTCGTAGGGGACATCGAGCTCAATTGGCATAACATACTACACAAAACATTGTTCCACCTCCTACTTTGGTGAGTAGCAACTGGGATCTTAAAAGCTAGCAAGCTGCCATCTAGATGCAACGATGGGTCTCTCCTCGTCCAGAGCAAAGAAGAATGAAG